CCGATCGGGATCCTGATCCCAGTCCCGTCCCCGGTCCTGCTCCTGGTCCCGAACGCAATTCCGGTCGTGATCCCAGTCCCTATCCCGGTCCCGGTTCCGAGCCCGACTGCAGTCCCGATCGGGATCCTGATCCCAGTCCCGTCCCCGGTCCTGCTCCTGGTCCCGAACGCAATTCCGGTCGTGATCCCAGTCCCTATCCCGGTCCCGGTTCCGAGCCCGACTGCAGTCCCGATCGGGATCCTGATCCCAGTCCCGTCCCCGGTCCTGCTCCTGGTCCCGAACGCAATTCCGGTCGTGATCCCAGTCCCTATCCCGGTCCCGGTTCCGAGCCCGACTGCAGTCCCGATCGGGATCCTGATCCCAGTCCCGTCCCCGGTCCTGCTCCTGGTCCCGAACGCAATTCCGGTCGTGATCCCAGTCCCTATCCCGGTCCCGGTTCCGAGCCCGACTGCAGTCCCGATCGGGATCCTGATCCCGGTCCCGTCCCCCCCGTCCTGGGTTTTTCCCCCCTGGCGGGTGCTGCCCCGTCCCAGGGAGGGGTAACTCGGGGCTCCTGCTCCCGGCGGTTAGTGGGGAGCATTGGGGGGTCTCACCCCACTCCCCATCGTGTCCTATCCCCAGCCCTGCCATGGCCACCAGTGAGCCCACGACGGCACAGCCCAAGGTGGAGGAGCCACAGGTCAGTGGGGGCAAGGGGAGGAGGTTTGGGGGATGTGCCCAAGGAGTCTCTGCTTGGGGACAGCACTGTGGGTTATCCCACCCTTGAGTGGGTTTGGAGAGCGCTGGGAGCACCCCAAAACCATCCCTGCTGGGGGGGTTGGGAACACAGAGTGTGTCTCATCCCCTGTGAGATTGGGGGGTCCATCACCCTGATGCCATCTCACCCCCAGAGCATTGGGGTGCGAGTGGCCAACCTGCCCCTGGTGAGCTCAGCCTACGACATGGTGTCCACTGCCTACACCTCCACCAAGGAGAGTCACCCCTACGTTCGCTCCGTCTGCGACGCTGCCGAGAAGGGAGTGAAGACCCTGACAGCAGCAGCAGTGAGTGGGGCCCAACCCCTCCTCACCCGCCTGGCGCCACAGAGTGAGTGCTGGGGCG